AGAAAGACACAACAAGAACTGATGATTCCATGCAAACAAATGAACCAGCAACAACTACAGCCACTCCTTTTTTCTCCAAACAGTACCCCAGCTGAGTCAGACACCATGTCTTTGTTGATGGATCAACTTCAACAAATTGCCGAGATTGGCCAGCAAATTTTGCAACAAGAGCAACAACCTCAGTCCCAGCAACAACTTCATCAACCTCAACAACTTCAACAGCCTCAAGAATTTCATCCAGAACAACAAAATCAACAACAACTTGATCAACTTTCATATCAGCATTTTCAACAGCATGAATTTCAACAACAATATTTTTATCAATCACATCAACACTATCCTTATCCAGCATACATTAACAGTAATGACATTAACAGTTTTTGCACTGACAACTTTCCAATAAACGACGACGGCGGCATCAACAGCATCACAACAACGTCTGCCATTACAACATGTATTTCGGATTCTTCCTCTCGCACCAGTTTCACAGATTTGCTCTCTTCTGCTGGTACTACAACTTCTTTTACCACAACTCCTTACGACAACATCAGTGCGAATATATATGACATTAACAGTTTTAATGCCAGTATGATTTATAATAATTATTGCAGCAATAACGGTGACATCAATACAGATAGCAGTAACTTTTATTGTACTGCTAACAATACTTCTACCTATATAACTCTTACTTCCAATACTACCAGGTACACAAATACTCATCCCATAGTTACTGACACTGACCTCTTACCCAGTAGTGCTCCGCAGAGTACAAACAATGCCAGTAATAATGTCACTCCAAGTAACAACGTCAGTAGTAACAAATTCAAATTAACAATTAGAAACAGTGGCTGTAGTGGTGTAAATGGTGATGATACTAACTCTTCTGCATCTAGTAAAAGTGGAAAATCCCGAAAAATTACTCTAAGAATGAGCCAATTTAGGGAAATACTTGAAAAGGGTTTGCTATTTATACTCCCTGCAGCTGAAAGTACTAGCCAATCTTCAGCCGTTGAAGCTTCTACGAATGCCACTGCCGCTCCTACTGCTACAACTTCTACTGCTACTACTTCTACTACTATTAATAATACTACCGATGCTACTACTACTGATGCTACAATAAGTACCAGTGATCTTTATTTCAATACTATTGCTGTTACTTCTAGTGACCTTATCACTCTAACTCCAGCTATTGCTGTTTCAACAATTTTTACTACTGCCACGGCTACTACTACTTCTACTGCTACTTCTACTGCTGCTACTAATACTACTACAACTACTAGTACTGCTAATACTACAGCTGATATTAATATAAATAATAACAATTTTCCTATAAATTCTAATAGCGCAGCTGCAACTGCTACTACATGCGCGAATGTTTCTGCTGTTACTACAGCTCCTACACTTACTACTGCCGCTTTTGCTTCTACGGCTGCTACTGCTACTATGACTAGTAAAATTATGAATGATGTTGAAGAGAATCACCTGTCTGTAGAAAATGACGACACGGAAGAAAATGAGGATGACGACGATGATGATGAAAATGAAATTATGGAAACTAATAATAATACTTCTACTGTCATTAATGATGATGACGATGCTACTATTACTACTACTGATACTACTACTACTGATACTACTACTACTACTACTACTACTACTACTACTGCTACTACTACTACTACTGATAATAATAATAATTTCTCCCATCCCTTGTTCAGCGTCAGAAAAAGGTTGAATTTGGATCTGAATGACAACAACGACAATAATAGCAACAATAATAATGACAATAATAATAGCAATAATAATAATAGCAATAGTAAAAGTATTAGTAATAGTGATAGTAGTAATGGTAATATGACCAACGATGAATCAGTTGACACTCAAAAGGATGACGTCATCGATCTATCTTTAAGTAAATTGAAAAAACCAAATAATACTAATAAAGATGATGATATTGATAATGATAATAATGATAATGATGACGATATTATCTTAGATCTCTCTTTAGCTAAAAAGAAAATACCAAACAATAATGACAATAAAAATGGTAATTGTATAAGTAGCAATAATAATAATAACAATAATAGTGATAAAACTAATTACCGCATCGTTGGTAATAATAGTAATAATAATAATAATGATGATGGTGATGATGATGATAGTGGCGTTCTTGACCTTTCGGTTAAATCTAAAAATGCAAAATTTAATAACACTGATGATGATGTAAGTAATACTAATGAGGATAACTGCGTTAGTAATAGTACTGCTGCTGCTGCCACTACTACTGCTACTAGTAGTAGTGGTAGTAGTAACAACAATAATAATAACAATAAACAGAATAAAAAAAATAAAAATAAAAATGATACAGAGAGAAAGAACAAAGTCAAGAACGTTGATAATAAAACCATTGGCGACAAAATTATCAATACTGCAGCTGCAACTACTACTACTGCTAATGATAACATTAAAAAACGTAAAAAGAATATTACTACTACTGCTGCTGATACTTCTGCTACTTCTACTGCTGCTGCTACTTCTACTGCTGCTACTTCTACTACTACTACTACTGCTGCTACTACTGCTACTATTACTTTTAATGATAATAATACTAATAAACGTAAAAAGAAAACTGCAACTGCCGCCACTCGCGGTAATGATGGTGGTGATATGAAAAGTAAGAGGACTTATAACAAAAGAAAAGATAAAAGTGCTGAAGGTTCTGGCGACAAAATTATCAATACCGTTGATAATAGTAACAACAACAATAATATTAATAATAATAAAGAAAATATGTCTCATATGGCATGTGGTTCATCATCGTCAGCATTGCCATCATCTTTTTCATCTACTAATGTAGCATCAGCATCATCACAACTATTATCATCATCTACCGCTGCTACTATTACAGCTACTACTACTTCTACAGCTACTACTACTACTACTACTACAGCTACTACTACCACTACTAAAGCGTCGTCGTCATCATCGAAATTGCCATCATCATTTTTGCCACAAGCACCGTCACCAGCATTGCTACAGACATTATTTAAGGCAACCTTATCATCAATACAATCGTCATCATCACAGGCATGTTCATCGTCGTCATCATCACAATTGGCAAAATCAAGATCATCATCATCGCCCGTTACCCCACTGACAACAAGAAAGAGGAAATACGTCACACAATGCTTGTCTACGTCATCTTCGACACCGTCATTATCAGCAGCGATACCATCGTCATCATCATCATCTAATCATCTGCAAAGTGCTTCACTGCATACGCCTGCAGTTTCAGCTGGAGGTAATTTTTGTAACGAATGAATGATTTTTTGTCGTTGTAGCAAATGTTGAATGATATTTATGATGAAGATGACGTTTCAAATGATGAAGATGACGTTTCGAATGATGAAGATGACGTTTTGGATGATGAAAATTAAGATGGCAGTGGTTAAAGACTTGAGAATGTTGCTGGTGATGTTGTAGATGTGAAAGATGATGAGAGTATGATAGAGTTGACAATGATGATGATAATAATAAGAGTGATGATGGTGTGTTTGTTTATTTAATTAATTTATTTATTTATTAAAAAAAAATAATTTTTAATGTTAATTGTTCTCAGTAGTCAGTGACGGTTCGGAAGGTGCTCCTACTGCAAACAAAAGAAAGGTAATGCACATCAAATTATTTGGCTAATTAGCTGATTAATTAATTAATTAATTAATTAATGAGTCAACTTAATAATCAATCAATGAATAACTCAATTAATTGAGTAATATTAATAAATTATTAATTATCATTATTTTAATTTTTTTATCATTTCAGAAAATTGACTTCAACCAAATGGACATTAATAATATTCTAAAGATATTGCACGACCAAAGCCAAATCAAAAAACCATAAAATTATTTTTTCCCATTTGATTCGTTATCTGAACATAAACATGTATATATGTATGAAGGGTGTATGTATGTATCTATACATGTGTGTGTGTGTGTATATATATATATATATATACCTGGAAAGCCATAGTTGACGTTATTCAGTTCTTTTAGCTACATTTACGTTCTTGGAATGTTTTTTTGCTTTTAAATTCGTTTTTATCCGTGTTGCTTTTTTGACTTTGCTATGTAAAACTTACTTTAATTGACAGTTTATGATATGGTATACCTTTGCGTTTGTACAATTTCATTTAAGCATGTACATTCATGAAATCTTTGATGTAATTAATAAGTTATTAAAGGTATTTAATGGCACCAGGTCAATTTTTACTGTGATTGGACACAAGTCCATGTTATCCATTCTGTACCATTGGTTGTGTTAATTTTGTTGGTCAATATGAATTTTTGAAATAGTTTTCGTGTTATTTCTTCTAATGCGTGTGTGTGCGTGTTTGTCCGTGTGTTGCTGCCATATTTTATGGTGAAACGCATTAGCTTAATTAGGATTAATTAGATGAGTAGTTAATGATGTCTCGCACTGATTTCCCCGTCTAGAGCAGACGTTCTAAAGAACGAATGGAAGCATAGCATGTAGAAGATAGCCGATTTGAAAAAAATAATTTTTTAATGAAATCAGATAAAGAACAGCTTTTATGCTATATATTTAGACAGGTGATATCTTGAACAAAGAATGTGGAAGAAAGATTTTATAAAACGCAGCCGACTTTGTGTTTTTTCTTTTGTGTTAGTGATAATTAATTAGTAAATATTAGGAATTTTTAGGAATTGAATCTCTATTTTGGGAAGATAATAATATTTTTAAACGTCGGCTTTGTTTAAATAATTAAATTTTAATATTAAATTAATTTTAAACGATTTAAAATGCTTCTAGTTAATATAATAATCTAAAAAGTATAATGGAAAATCGAAACTCCATTGCTGGATCTGTTCCTGTTAGGAATCAGTATAATAATAAAAGCTCACTGTCGAACAGCTCTGAGAGGCCGCTGTCGTTTTCAGAGGCTAGTAGAAAATTACATCTTTCAAAAAAAGTTTAGTTTGAAAAAATGGCGACTGAATAAGTAACTAAAATCGCACTTTAAAATAGCTGATCAACAGTTTTCAATTTACTTCCTATTACTATTTACTTGGGATAAGCTACCAAACTTTCTGTTTTAAGCTGTTTTGGGAAGATAAAATGTATAGCAAATTAAATAGTTTTATGAAATAATAAATAATTTCAAGTTTATAATGATATTTAGTATTAATTGTCAGTTGATTAGTGACAGTAATTACAGTTGCAATAATTTCCTGAAGGCTTGCTTTGCTAGACTATATTTTAGCGATCATTTCTATATATCAATGTATTTATGTATTTACGTATTTATGTATATATGTATGTGTATGTATAATGTAAATTGTATATTCTGCATATACTTGTCTAGAAATTTATGAGTTTGTTTTTTCCTAATGCTGGTCTATTATACATGCATATTTTCACGTAAAATCACATTTGGATAATTTGTATGGTATTTAGATTGTTCAATTTATATATATATATATATATATATATATATATATATATATATATATATATATATATATAAACCTATACACATGTATACTTTGTGTGTATTAACTATGCATATTATATCTATATTTGTATAGAGGCATATTTATGTATGTATGTATGTGAATGTGTGTGTATAAGTACTAATGTATTAATACATAAAAGTTCAGAAGAGTTTTCTGGCTCTTATTTGCACTTGGAGATGTTTGTTTTTTGTTTGGAGATATACATATTTACCTGTATG